ACCTTTAGCTTTGATTATGAAACTCATTTTCTGTGGCATTGTTTGGATAAACCTCTGCAATATCACAATATTTATTTCTATTCAGTGTTGCATTAATTTTTCACCAAGATCTTCCTTTGATGATGGTAGAATTCAGATTACAAATTCATTCAGATCAAGCTGATCAGGGTGTTTGCATTTTTATTTTGAATGGCTGTTTAATCTGATAATTGTGTCCCTGTAAACATAGCTTGGGAGACCACTCCCTGAACAGTTCAGTGTTGACTAGTTTAGTTTTTGTTGTCCTTTGTTTGGTACACTCAGTGTGACCTGTAATGTTTTATTCTCTTTTACAGTCTTTGCCGTCTATAAGCTCAGATCTAGGCCTCGCTGAATTCACCAATATTTACTAAATGTGTTGCTAGAGCCTCCAGGAGGTGACTACTTGCACATGTAAGTTATGACTAATTACCATGTTTGTTTGTTTGTTTGTTTGTTTGTTTGTTACCTTGGTTTTATTTGTTTTTCTGCTTTTCTTAAGGTTCTGACCTCCACATGCTCATGGTGCTGAGGTGAATCTACTGCAGCCACATACAGCCCTGCGTCTGGACATACATCCAGCTTTGAACACAGTTCATTCTCTCTTTCTGAAGATTTTTTTCTCTGGTGAGTTGATGAAAACTTTTTTGCCACTGTGCGGCATTAGCTGACTGTTCTGTACCACAATATGATATTTTGTAGCCARTGTTAACTAGTTAGTTRTATTTAACTGCAGYTAGCTTGTTRGCATAACAGGTTTAAACAGGACTATTTCAGTTTGTTTGATTCAGATTTAAAATATCCAGCACAGTTTAAATTTTGAAAGTTGATAATTTCATAAGCTTAGTAGTGTTTACCAAACTGTCTCAACTAGAAAACATGTTTAGCTTTTGTTGTATGAGATTGACGTGATTAATTTAGTTCAAGTTATAGATTCTTTATCAGAGACGGCAGCATAAATAAGACCCATCATATCAAAATGAGGATTAAGTCAAATTTGCTCAAAATAACCTAATTACGTTTTCAGATTCGTGCTTTAAAAGCTACATTTTGATAACTGGATCATTCTGATATCATAAACTTATCCAAAGATATGACTTAATTTGTCTTGTTGTTTACTATAATACATTACTGTTTGGTCTGAATCCTAATTTTATGTAAATTTGTTTGTTTTTTTCTTTTTGTACATCATTACTTGAAGGGAACATGCTTTATAACAAACTTGCTTGTCTCTCTTCAGGATCCATGGCATTTAGGAGCTCCATGAAAGATGCACCGGACCTTCTGAAAGCTTCTCACCAGATGTGGGACGTTTAGAATGAAGAACAGCCTTTTGTCTGGTCTTGCTACATGTTGGACATGTGTTTTATTGTGGCTCATTCTAAAAGCTGAAGAAGAAAAAAAACCTAGTTGAGCTCACTGAAAAAAGACAGAGGAAGTTCTTCTCATGTCAGGATCTTTCCTCCTCCTTGGTTCTGGGTGATGAACAAACAGGGTTGGAGCAGCATCAGCCTTTAGTCTAATTTGGACAGTCTGTCTTTGGGATCTGTCCTTCCACAAATTGTGCCTGCAGTGATTTATAGTTTATTTCTTTACACACTTAATTGGGGCCTGGTGCATTTGACAGTAAAACATTTTGAGCCCTGGTTAAAATGTTGAGTGCAGATTAAACTTAAAGCACAGTTTGTTGTTATTTTGACCTTTATTGATGCAGGTATGACTAAACACTAAATGTTAATAAAAGTACTTTTTAAAGTAATTAAACACTATTTCATTACAAAATGTTTGGTTATTTGTTTTTTCAGAATTGAGACACACTTTGTCATGTAATAAGATCTTAAAACACTTTTGTTCAAATTARCATTTTAATAAATTACTATTTCACAACAGTTGTCTGGCTGTAAGCACAATCAACAGGGTTACAGAAGTGGTTCTTTGTTCTGGTTCTCATGGCCCACTATCCTGCTTGTTTTAGTTGTGTCCCATCTGCATTCATTTAAATCAGGTGTGCCAAAGCTGGGAAACCACTAAAACATGCAGGATAGTGGATCRTGAGGCCCAGAATTGAGAACCACTGGGTTATATAGGTACTCAGTTCACATGGGAAACCAAAATGAAGTATAGAATTATTTGTCTTTCTACAGAAAATAATTCATCACAGGTGTCCATTCAAATAATATACAGACACGTATTCTTTAAAGTCATTGAAATTTTTTTAATATAATTTATTTATTTTAACTTTGCCATTCAGCTCGTATTTAATTCTGACAGCAGACAGAAAGAGCAGACAGACTGATATCTGCTAAATCCTGGAAACAGTAATATTGTTTTGTTGTAGATCTGAAGGTAAGTTTGAGCAGAGCTGTAAACGGCTGACATCTTTAATTATAGGACAAGGTGTAGCATTCATGCTAGCATGGAGAGAATACCAGAAAGAGCCTTAAACATTTTTTTTTATGTGCATAACGTTATAAACCAGTGCAGACAWATTGATCAGGGTATTGCATGAATGTTTGGTTTCAACAATAAATATGATATTTAGTATGTAGCCTATTATATGTTTGCAGTCTTGTTTTCCTCATTAAAAAAATTGATCTATCCCTGCATAACTGTTCATGGCTCATATGGTCCTTTGATTGTGGCACAGGCATTGATATAGAACTATTTATTTCTAATAGTAGCAGGTGACAAGCTAACGTTTCTTCCACCAAGTGTGTGGACGAGCTAACATTGGTTGTTTGCTAATGCTCATCAAACTTCTGGGTCACAGAAAGTAGACAAATTAAATAATGTCCCAGTGCCTGATATTCTGTTTCATGTTTTTGATCTGAGCCTAAAACTGAAATATGAACAGACTTTTTTTTTCTTTTCGTTTTTGGTGTTTAAAAAAATAAAACAAAATAACCTGCAGATCATGCAACAATCTATACATCCACACATACAGGCACATCCTCTGAAAGGAAACAAACACACCCCAGAGCAGGCTGTCTCCGCCCAGTTTAATGCTTTCATTCTATTGGCTGGAACAGTTGCTAGGAGACAGTCCCTGATCCGTGAGCGTGCAGAAAAAATCCACATGCAGAAAAGTGATCCRTGAGAGCGCAGTTTGGATTTGTGCAGAGAGAAAGTTTGAGCGTGAGGAGAAATTCTGAGCGAGAAAGGGAAGGTTTGAGAGCGAGCAGAGGTTTTGAGTGCGAGCATTTTAAGTTTTGAGAACAAACACTTAAGTTTTGAGAGCAAAAACATTATTCTGCTCTCAAATTGAAAATATACACTCTTGATTATAGTCAGGATAATCCTTCCATACAAATGAATCACGCAAAGCTGCAACTGCTTGTACCTGATTTACAAAGCGAGATGTAATATTCAATGTAACATTTTTCTCTGGTACTGTCTCTGTAAAATGAATCTCTGGACCCAGCTGTGTTTGACACACAGATCAGCTTCACCTCATCCTCCCTGTCTCGTGATATCCAACAGTCTGCAGATTAAATTTAAGATTATCACTAATTTAATTTATGTAATGTGGATCTAAGCACTGAAGTCATAAAATTATTTTTATTGCAATTTTAATTGCAGTTTTAAACATATTTAGTGTTTTTCTTCACTTGTTTTCTCTTTAACATCTCTCCTAGAGCTCAGATCACAATTACTGGTAAACATATTAGGTGATGATGTAATCTAGTGACTTGAGTTTGATTTTCCTAGAAAATAACATGTTGGTTAAAGCAGATGTTTATTGGGTGAATGCCTTTAGGC